CTGACTTCGACTACAGATATGTGGAGGTCTTGGTCAGCAGGAAGTGAAAACTGTGTCCAAAGTGAGATTAGAAATATGCTTGTTCAATTTCTCTGACTGATTTGATTTAGCTGGTGCCCTGCTTTTGCTCCTCTGCCATGATTATGAGAACATCCGCGCCAGGGCTAGGTTACTGGAGAATCAAAGACGCGTGGAACAATGCCAACTCACTGCAGCCATCTCTGTCCTGGCCATCCTAGATCAGACAACTCCCGAATATTTTTATGAGCCCTGACAAAAGCAATACAGCTTCCTAGATGACCTGCAGCTAATGCAGATGCATGAGTGAATCTTGCCAAAAATTCTTCTAATTCTTGAAGCTTTGGGAGGTAAATAAGTGTCTCTTTCAAAATGTCACAGGGTGTTATAGTTATCTGTTGTATGACATCAATGTGACAATAGCTATGTGATAGGTGACTGAGATCTGATTAACATACCACATGCTCTACAAAAAGATTCAAAGGCCCATATAAACAATTATTCAAAGGATTGGTGGACCACATGAACTCCACTTAATGAACCTGTGATCAGTATAACTAGATGCTACCTGATATAAAGTTCATTGTGCCAACCTGGCCGATAAACACATGTGGAGTTAATTGAAGGGCGGAGAGATAAATGGCTCGGTGAGCCTCGCCTTTTGAGTTCTTGGGTCTCCTACTTTGTGATGGTCAGATCAGGATGCAGCTGCCTTAACCAGTTCCCTGCTTCAGCTGCCAAGGCTGACTTCCTGCAGGACATCCCTGAGGAGAAGCCACATGGACCTACCCCGATGCAGCTTCCAGTGGTTTTGCCTAGGTTTCCTGCAGTGAGTGTTCTTGAGGTGAAGATATCATTTGTCCACTTAGGTGGGAACACGAATGAAGCGCATGTTGCAACTCCTGCTGTGTCCATGGGCATGCACGTTCCAGAAGGCTCTCAGATTTCCCCAAATACCTTAGTTGTTCAGTGATTAGACAGCAGGCTTGTGACGTGAAAGCCAGGAGCTGGTAGATAAATATTGGCATGTCACTTTCTGTATGGCTGCTAAGTTTGGGAATTTGGGAACCAGTCGTTCCTGGGGTGACTTCCCACTTCCTAGTCTTTATTGTAGCAGTGTCCCTGAGTGGCTCAGATGGAAATGTTGCTGGGACCCTCAATTCCAGAGGCCTACATTCCTGGTTTCCCAATGATGCTGTTAGCCTCTAGTTCCCATCATTGCATGTCACTGTGCTTAAAATGGTTATATTTCTTCCTGTTACTTGTTAATAACAGGAATTTGTTAAATTCTAACTGATACAATCATGGTCAAACCAGAACCATTGAGTGAGTTATTTCTTGCCTGGCTCAATAATTTAACTGTTAAGCTTAAAGACATGTTGCTAATACACTTTCTTTTTACTACTTTTCTATCTTTTTTTTTGCTGGTCTTCAAAATTATAAGCATTTTTGGGAGACGTGGAGGAAGGCAGAGGACGCTGGGTACTTCTGCCAGACCAAAGCCGGCTACCAGCTCAGTGGGTTCCGCCTCACCAGGAGGCTACTAAAGTTCCTGTGGGAGTGAATTAGAATTTCATAAGAGCATAATGGATGGAGAAGAGAAAACTTACGGTGGCTGTGAAGGGCCGGATGCCATGTATGTCAAACTGATATCTTCTGATGGCCATGAATTTATTGTAAAAAGAGAACATGCACTAACATCAGGAACAATAAAAGCCATGTTGAGTGGCCCAGGTCAGTTTGCTGAGAATGAAACCAATGAGGTCAATTTTAGAGAGATCCCATCACATGTGTTATCAAAAGTATGCATGTATTTTACCTACAAGGTTCGCAACACTAACAGCTCCACTGAGATTCCCAAATTCCCAATTGCACCTGAAATTGCACTGGAACTGCTGATGGCCGCCAACTTCTTAGATTGTTAAATAAAATAAATTATAATAAACTGTTAAAAAAAAAAGAAAAAGAAAAAATTATAAGCATTTTTAACTATATACAAAATCCACTGATATCCAGTTGATTCCTTTTAAGGCACTGTGATAGGTAGGTTTATTGTGCCAACATGGCCAGTGAACACATGTGGGATTAATTGAAGGGCGGAGATATAAATGGCTCCACAAGCCTCACCTTTCTTGTCTCTTGCTCATTGGTCATCAGACCAGTGTGTGGCTGCCTTGCTTGTTCTGTGCCACCATTTGCAAGATACACTATCTGTGGGAAACCTACCCATGGACTGTGTGGCTGTAACTTGAGGTTCATTCAAGACCTGCTTCACCACACTATTAGAACTTACATCTCTTGAGCTGGGGACTGTGGGACCCTGTCATCTGGCTGACTGTTGGTGACCTGCCTTGCTATTTGCTGCCTGTGGCCGGATAGCCTGAATTGCTTTACAGAGGACCACCGGGCGGCCCTCAAGACTTGAAGGACTGCCAGTGTCTCACAACTGTCTCATGGGAGTGAGTTAATTGTACTGAGCCATTTGTACTACTTTATAATTTAATTGTTTACTTCTTATGTTATCTATCTGTATAAATATATAAAAGCTTATTAACGTTCTGGTTTTGTTTCTCTAGAGAACCCTGTCTAACATAGGCACCCTATGAGACAGAGTAGAACTGTTCCTTAGGGTTTCTGGGGCTGCAGATCTTCATGGGGAGCAGACAGCCTCTTCTTGAGGAGCAGGCCGGCTGGGGTGCTCACAGTGACCTTGTAGCTACCAGCCCAACACATAAGCCATTATGCCACCAGCCTCCTGTGAGTATGAAAAACAATGTGACAGGCATTATATATGTGTAACACGATTGAGTGAAAGTTGACATTTGTATATATTTGCTTCAAATATTATTTTTATTAATGTATTACTGACAGGTCAAAATCCCTTTCCTATTATGAGCTTCTATCCTTCTGTCCTCAAAGGTAACCAATGTCTTGGCTGAATGCAGAGAACACCAATAGGTGCTTATCTGGGTCTTGTTGACTAATCAAAGGCATTCAATTGCATGGATCATAGCAAATTGTGGGTAACTGAGATGAATGGAAATTGCAGTTTATTGTGCCCATGTAGAATCAATACATAGATCAAGAAGCAGTCATTGCAACACAGCAATGGGATACTGAATGGTTTAAAAACAGAAAAGGTATGCATTTGGGTTGTATTCTTAGTTAGTTTATTGTGCCAACCTGGCCAATAAACATAATGGCATAGTCTGGGTACTTTAGAGAAACAAATCCACAGAAACTCATGTGTAAGAGAGAGTTTTATATATAGGTTAAGTGTGCATCAAGAAAACATCCCACCCCAGTGCTGTCCAAACCCACAAGTCCAACATTCACCCATTAACCCATATGTCCAACACCAATCCACAAAGTCCTCTTCCATCTCACAAAGCAGATGCAATGATGCCCACTGCAGGAGGAAAGCCGAGTCAGTGAATGTGTAAGCATCTCAGTGCTGACAGGGTCTCCACATGGCTGCTCCAGCACCCAGGGCTGCATCTGGGTAGGTCCATGTGACTTCTCCTCGGGGATGCCTTGCAGGAAGTGAGCCTTGCCGGCACAAGCAGGAAAATGGCTAAGGCAGCTGCATCCTGGTCTGACCACCACAAAGCAAGAGACCCACGAACTAGAAAGGTGAGGCTCACCGAGCCATTTATCCCTATATTTCCCCTGGAAGAACAATCTGGTCCGATGGTCACACCAGGGCGCAGCTGCCTTAGCAGTTCCCTGCTTCAGCTTGCACCTTCACAACAAGAAAGTATAGATTGCACCTTCACAACAAGAATGCTCCCCACTGGACCAATAGGTACATTAGGGAAAATGGAGAAAAGATTGAAATTTTCAAGGATTCCATTCTACTTGTATTCATAATCAATGCCCTGGGAAACAGCAGGTGAAAACTCAACTAACATACGGCCCTGTCTCCAAAGATCTCTTCAACACGATCAGAAGCAAAGCCATCCCTTTGAGTAATAAGATGCAACTGAGTTAATCCACAGTATTTTAATTGCATGGGATACATACAAAATCTGGACATTTAAACAGAAAAACCAAAGAAAATTTCATGCTTTGAATGATGGTGTTGGAGTATTAGAAAAATTGACATATATTTCTGAGAAGTACAGCAAGAATACTCCTTAGAAAAGATGGTGAGACTTTGTCACAAGTACTATAGGCCCCTTAGCAGGATACATTAGTCCCTAGAAAAGGGCATCATGATGGTTGAAGCAGGATGTCAGCGAAGAAAAGGCAAGGTCCTCAGGGAGATGGATAGGCACAATGACCTCAGCAGTAGGTTAGCATCCATCGCAGCCATTGTGCGATGGCACAGTAGTGTTTTGTTCCAGTGAGCACAGGATCACTGTGCCTCAGGGCTGACTGGACGGCACCGAACAGCAACAGCACAATACTCTACCTGAATATTTTTGTATTTTTACCACACGCATGTGTGTAAATTTATAGCCATGGTTTTGTATTTTATACTTTATGTAAATAATTTTCATTTCCGAAATCACATTCAAACTCATTCTCTGAGTTTTCTCATTTAATTGAACAAGCTGTTCTTGGTATGTTTCTAGTTTTACACATATTGATCTAGTTTATTTATTTGACCAGATGCATGGTTTTCCACTGTCTAATTAAACCATCTCCCTTCTGAGATTGTTTCCAAGGATTGATTTTCTAATAACATCTCAAAATTGAATCAGAATTTCCCTGTCCCTTCTTTAATTGCTTTCTTTATTTTAGTTACTGGCATTTACATCCCCAATCTGTCCAGCTTCAAAACTTTGAGATCACCTTGACACATCATTTTCATTTTTAATCAACTCATTGTATACTGGGTCCTTGTCAACTGGTAAACTGAAATCTTATCTCCTAAGATAAACATTGAGTTCTTTGGTGGCACACATGATTAACATACGTGGCTCCTAAGTGATAGATTGGCTTTTGAGTCTACCCAGAATTACCTTGGAAGAAACAACTATTGATCTACTTCTAAAAAATAGAAACAAAAAAATCTGTCATTGAAAACCTTTTTGAAAAAAAACAAAAACAAAAAAACCTTTTTGAGCACAGTTCTACTCTGACACACATGGAAGTCATCGTGTGTGAGATTCAATTGGACAGCCACTTTATTTATTTATTTTCATAGAAACATATCTAAAAGAATCTCCCCGTTTTGGCTTATCTTCTCCAAACTGATCTTTCTTGAGTTCAAGCTATTTTCACAGTGTGTAATAAAAGTTCATGTCTTGGTTTATTGTTGCCCATCTTCATTTGGTCATTATTGTTAGTTGCTGTCATGTTGAGTATGACTCCTAATAACCTTATATATCACACGCTAAAATGTTGCCTTTCTGTTGCCATTTTCATGATCCTTGATGTATGTGAATCCATTCATTGTGGTTATACATAAGGTTACACATACAGTATCAAGCCATCTAATTGATAGATTCCCTTGTTTACAATGACTCTCTACGTTATCAAATATGATGTCCTTGCCTAGGAATTTATCTTTCAGGATGATATGTGTGTAGCAGATCAGATGAAGTCTCATTGTAAACTCTGTGAGATTGAAGATTAAATCTCTCTATATATTGCTAGTCTAAGGGTGTGATAGTAAAAAAAATAAATGTATGCATTATACCACTCATTACATCCTTAAGCTAACCCAATCAACGTCTGAAATATTTTGATTTGCTTCAAAATATCAATAATGGAGTGAAAGCAAAGGGAATGTAGAAACAATAGAAGTCTATAAATAACCGTACGCTTTTAGAGCTAAGTCTATTGCTTGGTATTAAAAAGACTAAATATGCATGCGAAAATGTTCTTTTGCTTTTTGTGCAGGACACCAAAACAAAACAAACAACAACAACAATAAAATCCCAGTATATTTCCAGTGAGCTGGTTCCTGCTCATCATCCAAAATTAGACCCTCTTCTCAAGTATGTGACCAATTAATTATAACTATAGCTTACATTTGTTGCATAAAGAGACTTCCTATTAATAGAATAAGTTTTAAAAAATTAATTGTATAACATTTTACATAATTTCAAAAAAGTGCAATAATATAGACACCTATGTACTCAACACCAAAATTAAACAGATGTTAACATTTTGCCATATGTGCATCAAATCTGTCTTCAAAATTAAGAAATGAAGAATTACAAATTCCATTAAATTTCTCCTTCTTTTGCGTTTCCTACCACAGCCCATATCTTAAAGCGGTTGCACATCTTCCCTGTGTACAGCATTTATTTCATCTTAATGCAGTCTCATTGTTTGGGCCTGTACTTAACAAAATATGCACAACTAAAATCTTAAATTAGCTGTGAAAATAGTGGAGTACTTGTTTTGAATCAGAAAAGTAATCACTACATATTTTAAAATGTAAAATGATGATATATTTTAAATTGAATAAAGAATGCCATAAACATTATAAAACCTACAAAGGGAGAACATTAGTTTGTAAATGACTTGTTATTCTCTTTTATATATTCTTCCCATGATAGCTTTTTAGTATTCATTTCTATAGAAAGTCTAAAAAATTGCCTATTCTCTAGAACAGATGATTTCACTTTATTTCTTATTATAGTTGTAATACATTGAATTTGAATTTTAAATATGGACTTCCTTGTTGTAGTGCTTGCCAGGGTTTGTGACAAAGAAACTTGTTGGTGGAGACCATTAGCATGGATGGAAGTTAGCAGGGAAAGAGGCAGAGGCTGACCTGTCTCAGTAAGGTTTTACATTTATAACCCACTATCACATAGGGTCAATATGGGTCAGAATTCACTCAGTGTCAGTGGGTTTGGTTTGAATATCAAATTTCCTAGTTAGCTTGTTCAAAGAAGTAATGCATATTCTGTGGGTCTCTTCGGTAATTTCTCTCCATATTGCCTACCCTTTGAAGGTAAAGGTTTTATGCTGGGTTAACATGTA